AGGGCCCGGGCCCGGGCTGCTTAGCGCTTGGAATCCCTAGTCTCCTGGGCCTAAGCCACATTTCTCGGCTGGGGAAACGGAGGCGCAGAGAATCGCAGGGGCTTCATCATTCATTCATGAGTTCCCAGTCTGGGAAGAACGTGAAGCAGTGAAGATTCAGAGCAGGATGGTAGGTGGCAGAGGAGGCCAGAGACTGTGGGAGCCCTGAGCAGGGGCCCTAACCTGCCTGGGTCAGTCGAGGAAGCCAGCCCCAAGGAGGAGGCACAAAATTCTGCCTGCCACAGGAGCCAATGTCCCTGCCTTGGGGCAGCTCACTAATAGAATAAGGGAATCCAGCAGGGAAGGAGAGAGGACAGAATGGAAGGGGAGGGGGGAGGATGCTGTTCCCAGCAAAGGCAGCCATCTTCCAGGGCCTAAGGCTGAGCCGTGGGGCATTCTGGGAATCAGAGTTTGGGTTATCCAACAGGCTGTGGGGGCAGGGGTGAGGTAGGGCCATTGGGCCTGTTGGAAAGACTCCCGTTGTGCAAGGTTACCCAGTGAGCCCACGGCAGAGCTGGGCGCTGGCCACCGAGGCCTGGAGCTCTTCAGTTTGGGAGGCTGACTTGGCCAACGGAGGATACCTGGTACCAGCTGGGTACAGCCTCAGGCGTCCCCTGATTTACCTAGACTCTGTGGACCCCTGAGCTTGTCGGTAATTCGCACAAGCTGGGTGGGGAGGGACTGACACTGCAGTGTGTAAATGCCAGGGCGTGGGAGGCCTGGGGTTCCTCTACGGGCCGGCCCCAGCCCCAGGTGTGAAGCCTGAAGGAAGCCTGGTGGTATAGACAGTGTGAGCGATGCCTGAGGATCCTGAGGACACATCTGGGTGGTCAGTGAGCTCGGTGGGTGCTGCTGGCTCAGCCTCCATTAGGGGGCTGGAGGAAGGGCCCAGTGGGGGTGGTGGGTAAGGAGTCAGCAGGGTGAGAGCAATTGGCCCAGGGCAGGGGCTGCGGGAGAGCCAGGGCAGCACTGAGCCAGTTCCTTCTTGCTTTTCCTGACTCACCAGGAAATGCCAGGGACTTCTGCCTCTCCCCTTCAGCCTTCCTGTCCCAGTGACCTCAGGGGCTTTTAGCCTGAGGCCAGTGGGGTCAATGCAGCAGAAAAGTGAGGCTAGCTGGGCCTGGAGCCCTGGGAGGGGGAGTCCGAGGTGGCTCTGAGGCCCATGTGGCTGGAAGTGCGGGAGCAAAGGGGCACAGTGTGTCTAGGTTGGGAGAGGGGCAGAGGGGCCATTCTTGAGCCTCCAGGCAGACAGAGGCCCCTGAGCAAGTGTCTGGATGGGCCAGTCCCCAGGGGGCTCTGGGACCCAGCAAAGGTACCACAAGGACGCTTAGATATACCTCCGTGGAGTCGGGTGGGGTTGTGGAGGGGGCAGCCCTTCCTGCGTGGACTGGCCCATCTCTGGGGCAGCAGAGCCACCCTGGGGTCAGGGTGCAGGGCTGGTGGATACCCATGGCCAGCAGGGCTGGAGTGCAGAGGGGGCTGGGTGTGGAAGGGGGCAGAGAGCCAGCTGCTGAAAGGAGTTGCATTTATCCATGTGAGAGGGGAGGCCTTCCAGCAGGAAGATCAGATCTGAAAGGTGATTCTGCCTGCAGGGTGGAGGAGAGACTGTTGGAGGTGAGGGCGAAGCAGGGAGGCCAGGGAGGAGGGTCCAAGGGAGAGAATGATGATGGCTGGGCAGTGGGGCTGGGGGAGCTCGAGGCTGATCAGTTTCAGGGGGGAGACTATTTTGGAGCAGGAGTGATGGGTGAGAGAGTAGAAGGAGGCATGGTGAGCACAAGGTTTTGGCCTGAACCAGACTGAGCCGATGAAGGACCCATGATCAGAGGGGGGGAAGCAGGGATGGGATCGGGAGAGGGGTGGAGGGAAGGCCTGCTAGACTCAGGCTGAGGAGGCGGCTCTTGCTTGAGGGATGGTGCTGAGGCTTCCTCATGCAGCCCCTCTCTGCCCACAGCGATGTCATCAACAGCCCCAAGCTGGCAGGGGAGCTGCAGGGAGTCAGGCTTGGGAGCCTCCTCCCCCCTAAGCAGATCCGGCTGCTGGAGGCCACGTTCCTGTCCAGTGAGGTGGTGAGTTCAGCGCCAGCACCAGGGCCAGGGCCAAGGAGGGGCGGGAATGAAGCGGAGGGGAGGCTAGGGCAGATGGGACGTGGGCAGGGAGCCTGACGGACTTGCTCGTGGGCTTCGTGCTCCACTGACTGGCCCGCCTTCCCCTAGACCAGTGTGAAGGAGCTGATGGCCCGTGCCCTGGAGCTGGAGTCACAGCGCTGGGCCCAGGATGTGGCCCCCCAGAGGTTGGACGGCCACTGCCACAGTGAACTGGCCATCGACATCATCCAGGTAGCACAGCCGGCTCCTCGTGTGCGCACACAGCCTGGCCTGAGCTCGCAGTGCGCCATGCAGAGCCCACTTCCTGAGTGCATGCACCTGCCGCCTCTGAGCACTGCCCTCCTTGTCCTGGCATGTCCCCCCTCACCTGCCCATGCCCCAGCCCTGGACCACATGGGCTCCTGCTCAGTTCACCTCTTACCCTTGCAGATCATCTCCCAGGGCCAGGCCAAGGCCGAGAGCATCACCCTTGAACTGGGCACGCAGATAAAGCATATGCTGCTAGTGGAGCTGGCTGCGGTCCTGAGGAGGTGGGTGAGGTACATGTGCGTGCACAGGAGGGGGTCCCTGCAGCCACCTCCCTCAGAGCCACCACCCCTCCCTGGTAACCCAGGTGGGCATCCAAGCTAGATCTGGGACCCCTCCCTGCTCCGAGGGTGTCTGTCATTCAGAGCAGGAGTCCTTGTCCCACTGTGTAGGGGGGAAAACCAACTGGGCACTGAGAGCCTCAAGTGATCTGACCCTCCCCACTCAGCAAAGCTCCCTGCAGAGCGGCCTTCAGCTGACAAGAAAGTGCCCCCTGAGGGACCGAGATCTTGGCCTCCCCTTCAGGTGACGCCCCTGGTCTCTACCCTCACAAGTCTCTTGGCTGCCTCTCTCCCCACCTCTGAGGACCCCTCCCTCCACTCACTGCCTCTTCCAGTCGTCCAGCTATAGACAGGGCCTTTGGGGGGAGTAGAGGCAGCCGGGCTGGGCTGGCACCCTCTTCAGGAGCTCTGCAGGGGCCCTGGCCCCACTGGCTTAGCATGTAAAGCCAGTGACAGGGTGCTTAGGGGCTGGTGGCCCCTCCCTGTGCGGCCCGGCGCCAACTAACTGGAAAAGTGCCCTGTCAACCTGGAGAGGCTGTCGGGCCAGGGGAGGCTGCCACTGTCCCAGTGTTTGTGCTGGTCCTGCATGTGCCCTTTCCTGTTTCAACAGCTACCAGCGTGCCTTTGAGGACTTTCTGGAGTGCTGCAGACAGCTGAGAAATTACAGGGCCAATGTCATGGCCAACATCAACAACTGCCTATCCTTCCGGTGAGGGCGCTGGGAGGGGCTTGTGGGAGCGGTAATCACTGGGGCTGCCTGCCTGGTGGAGAGAGAGGGTGACTGAGAGGTGGAAGGGAGGCGCCCGGGAGCAGGGAGGGAAGCCAAAGGAGCAGCTTAAGTAGAGATGGACGGTGAATTAAAAGTGGCAGGGCGATAGATAAGGAAATGACCAGAAGCAGCAGCAGCAGCAAACATTTATCTAACACTGGTGGGTCAAGTACTTGTGCAAGTGATTTGTTTTATTTTTATGACAACCCTATCAAGTAGGTACAGTGATTATGTCCATTAAGCAGATGAGCAGACTGAAGTTTGGAGAGCAATTTGCCCTCAGTTAGAAGAGAATGTGGTGTTAGGTATGGCTGGGGGTGAGAAGGCTGGGGGCCCTTCCTAGGGAGCACGGATGGGATGACTTGAACTTGTTCCCACAGGGAATGGGGAGCCATTGAGGGTCCTAGGGTGAAAGAGAAGGCTAGGAAGACTCACTCGGGCTAGCTGGCTTTCTGGGCCTGGGCGACGCCCCTACCTGTGTGTCCTTTCAGGACGTACATGGAGCAGAAGTGGCAGACTCCGCAGGACCTGCTGAGACCCCTGCTGAGCCCCCTGAATGAACTCCAGAGCCGTGGCTTTGATGCCTTGCTCCAGAACCTGTTTGCAGACCTGAAGGTAGCTGGAACCTCCTGCCCTGTGCTCACGTGGCATCCAGTGCTGGAGGGATGGGGAAGAGGACCTCAGGGCGCTCCGGTGTACTGTGTAGGGGGTGGACGGGGAGAGGGCCTAGGGGCGCTCTGGTGTGCTGTGTGTGGAGGGGTGGACAGGGAGAGGGCCTGGGGGCGCTCCGGTGTGCTGTGTTAGGGGGTGGCATAAGCAAAGACCTGGTATGTGGAAGGCATGGAGCAGGGCCAGGTCTAGGGAGGCTGGAGCCACCTGAGGAGCTCAGAAGGCCGTCCAGGGCTGTAGGGCACAGACCAGAAGCTTCAGTGCCCCTCCCCCATTTAGATTCAGCATAGTCCTCCAGTTTACACATACTTTTCCACCAGCTCCCCCAGACCCTCCTGCCCACGCCCTGTCCCCATGCCTAAGTCCCAGCTGTGATGCTTAGAGCCTTGGGCAGCTGCCACCACATCTGCTGTGGGCCAGGAAATCTACAGAAACCCTTCAGTGCCTTTAGCAGTGGGTGAAGCAGGGGTCCCTGGAAAGGAAGAGGAGTGACTCCCTGCCTGCCCTCCATGGGAGCCTTCCGTGTCCCCAGTGCCCAGTGGCCGTGGGTGGCCAGACAGTGACCCTGGATGACTTGGCAGGGTTCTCAGAGGCTGAGCCAAACACAAGGCTTTGTTTATGCAGGAATTTATTTATTTAAGGAGGGAGGGAGCGGAAAAGGCCTCAGGGCAGGCAAGTGGCTGTCCTGGCTCCAGAGCCGCAGCGAGTCAGCCTTGGAGAAGGGCATGTGGACCTGCCTCCACTTCCTGCCTGTGAGCAGGGACTTGAGTCCCCTGGGCTCCCTGAGTCCTTGACAGCCCCGCGCCCCTGTCCGGGGCTACGTGCGTCCATGTGTGTCTCTGTGCATGCCAGTGGCTGCCGGCCCTTCCTCTGCAGGCGCAACTCAATATCCTGCCTCTCTTTTCACAGCCGCTGTTCAAGAGGTTCACACAGACCCGCTGGGCGGCCCCCGTGCAGACCCTGGAGGAAATCATCTCTGTCGTGGGCGAAAGGCTGCCTGAGTTCTCAGAACTGCACGACTGTTTCCGGAAGGTGAGGGAGTGCTGGGCTGGTGGCAGAGGGCGGCGGGTGTCTGCACACCCATGCCAACGTGTGTGTGTGTGCACACAGCCAGGAAAGCATGCACTCATCCCTTTGCTCTGGCTCCGCCCCTCCTGGACTCCTGGCTCCGAGGCTTCCGGGGGTGGGGGGTGAGCTCCCTATCTGGTTGGCTCATGTGGCCCCGCCTGCCTGCCCAGGAGCTCATGGAGGCTGTGCACCTGCACCTGGTGAAGGAGTACATCATCCGCCTCAGCAAGCGGCGCCTGGTCCTCAAGACGGCGGAGCAGCAGCAGCAGCTGGCGGGGCACATCCTGGCCAACGCCCAGCTCATCCAGCACTTCTGCACTCAGAACGTAAGCTCCTGCCCGCCCCTCCCAGCTCCCACTGGGACGGCGACCCTCCTCCTCCAGGCCTCTGCAGAGGCCAGGACAGCCCCTCAGGGCCTCTCCAAACCCAGTCAGATCTGACCTGAACCTCTCTGGGTCCCTGCCCGGTGGCCTTCAAGGAGGGGACAGACTCCCTCCAACCAGGCCACCCTGTGCCTGCAGGGCTCCCCGGCAGCCTGGCTGCATCACGCCCTCCCCACGCTCGCTGAGATCATTCGCCTGCAAGACCCCAGTGCCATCAAGATCGAGGTGGCCACGTATGCCACCTGGTACCCTGACTTCAGGTGAGAACAGAGTCACCAGAGGACCTGGGCAGGCGGCATGGCCCTGCCATACCCCACTGTGGTCGGAGCCGGGTGGGCCCGGGATCAGCCCCTCCAGGATAGGGAGAGCTCAGATACTGCCCACCTGATGCAGTCCCTGTGACTGGACTGTGTGCCTGCCACCCTGCTCTGGGCTTTACTGTGGCTGCTCACTCGATTTTCACTACAACCCGACGAGGCTGACACTTCCCACCCCATCTTAGGGACAAGGCCTGGAGAGCTTAAGGAATGTGTCCAAGGAAGCACAGCCCGGCAGTGGTAGAGCTGATGACAAAGCCGGGCAGTCTCAGCCTTTATGATACTGCCCCTCAGAGGGAAGCCTGGGGTCAGAGCGACCGGGGGCCTGCTGGAGGTCGTGGCAAGTCAGCAGTGACGCTGGGGTCCACCATGCAGCCTTGGGGTCCTCAGGGGCTTGACTTGTGCCCTGAGTCCTGGGGCCCCTGTTTCAGAGTGGAGGCTTAACCCCGGCTGCCTGAGGATCTGGAAAACCAGGGAAATTTTCTCTCTGGGTTGAATCTCTGGTATGGTTGGGAAAGTTTGAACAGGCCTTGAGCTGGATTATCTCAGTTCAGCCCAGTGCAGCCACTGACTGGTCCACTCCGCCCGCCCGCCCACCCACCCATCCACTTACTTACACAGCCATCCATCCACCCGCTCATAGAGGCACCTATCCACCCATCTACTCATCCACCTAGCTATCTGTCCATTTGCTCACACACCCATCTATCCATCTGTCCACCCATCCACCTATCCATTT